ACTTAATGAGATGAGAACATGATTGTATGAATTAACAACATGAGTAAAAATAAGTGAAAACTTATTTAACAAAGATGTAAAAAAGAAAAAAATAACACATGTAAATACAAAAGTTTCTTCACTATAAAAAATTACTCAGCAACTCATACCACTGTAACAATAGTAATAGAACTATTCTAAATCATAATTAACACTGGTATAAATAAACTATTTCAATGTTTTATTACTGTGACTAAATGCTTGATAAAAATGTATGAAATAAATCAATCAGATTGGAATAATATTTTAAACAATTATTAACAAATAACAACATAGAATCAATGTGTTTTGTGAATTTAAATGTTTAACAAAACTAAACAATATTTTGAGATATATGGATTATAAAGATGTAGCTAGGAATTCTAAGTTAGTTCATTTTACCTATAAGAAAAAAAAAATCCAAGTGGAAATTACAAAATATACAGTGAACACCACAAATTTAATCACTAGTTTTTAAAATCAGCTGCTTTTTTTAATCAAATCTACAAGAACTGAATCATGCAATATCAAATATTTTAGTAAAATTATCACCACTGTTTTATGTAATAAAGCCTTGGGGAAGTACAGTACAGAACCCGTTATCCGGAACGCCATTTTTAAAAATTTTTTTTCCCCCCTCATAAGATGTTTACGATTTTTTTTTCTTTTTTTAAAGATGTTTACCTTACCAACATTTTGGAAATAATCATTAGTGTATTACTTCATCGTTTTTTCTTACTTTTAAGACTATTTCCAATTTTTTTTAGTTGTGTTTAACAATAAAAAAAACCGCTTTTTGTAGCGATTCAGAAAACCGGAAAAATCAGTTATTTGGAATAGCGTTGGTCCCGACCGTTCCGGATAATCGGTTCCCTACTGTATATGTTTTAAAACTGAACTTTCTTTTCAAGTTTTGAAAGATACGTAGTATGTAGACATAGAATTCTAGTTTGAACTATTGTGTTTGTTTTCTTAACAAAGAAAAAGTGGATTCGAATAGGCATAAACAATTTTGAATAAATCCATGGCCATATGATATAATCATTCAACTATGAATAAAGGTTTACATTTTTACATTATTTTAAATCAAGTTTGTTAGCCTGCTAGCAACATGTCTGAATGGAACGATTTTAGTGTCAAGCATAAATTTTTAAAGTACTTAAATTTATAATTGACACTTAATGTAACATTGAAAGTTACAAAACCTTTTACAACATCTCAAACAATTTTGAATTTAACTTAATGCTAATAAAACAACAATACATGAGTATGAAGAACCTTCTGTGTGTAGCTCATGTTCAAAATTTAAATTTGAGAGCTTTATTTTTTCTTCTTAAGTGCAGATATACCGATTTATAAAATCAGCCACGTTATAAAAATCAAATGTCCTCAGAACGAATGTGTATTTAATAAGCAGTAGGCACTATACACATTGTGACTTTTATAACACAGAAATGAATGAGCATTGTAGCAATAAATAAGTTAGCAAAATTATAAATGATAAAATTATTCAAAAAATAATTTTTGAGAACTTCCTGAAATAATAAAAAAGCAAATATATATGTTAAAATCAGTAGGGATTTTGGGAAAAAGAAACTGGACAAAATGGAAGAAACTAAAAATGTTTAGAAATATATACTGTAACAGTAAATTTAAACAAATTAAGTTTTTGACTTTTTATTTAATAACTATTTTTATATTAATTTTAGTTTAGTACAGAAATTTAAAATCCATACTATTTAAGAGTAGGTTTGAGTATTCATACTCAATAGTATTTGATTATAAAAATTATTATGCTCTTTGTAATTGTTAATTCAATACATTATTTGTAGTAGTGGATGTGTGTGGTAAGTGATTTGTTGCCTACATTTGTTTCAAATTCTAAATAAATTTTTCCTTTCTTGCTTTTCAGTTTTCACTTACTTAAAAAGGATGAGTTAAATAGCTTGAAAATTATTGTTTTTTGAATTAAATTGCAAATTATAAACTGTTTTTTTTAAAATTATTTTATATTTCTTCTAGTTAAAAAAAAAAGGAGTTTCTTCTACTTGAGTCTAAAGAAAGCTATTTCATCCAGGGTGGTTTTTTCCACTGTGGAAAAAATTACTAAAATCCAGGTGAAAATTAAAAAAAAAAAAAAAAAAAAAAAAAAAAAAAAAAAAAGCAAACGCATAGATTTAAATTATATATGAAAAAATTAGAGCATAGTTTTTAATAATTAAATGGAAATATAATTTCCTGCATGCTTTTGATGGACAAAAGTGTGAGAAGCCACATTTATATATAATTATGTATTTAGCATAACACTATAATGCTTAGCTGTCAAAGTTAATAAATTGTGTCTAAGAATGAAGAATTATCAAATAAGAATGTTTGCCAATTCCTCTGAACGTCTACTTACATATGTTAATTAAGTTTATCGGTAGAACTGTTTTGTTAAATATAATAAATTCAATATATACCTAAAATAATGGAGATAAATTAGGTGCATTGGTATATTATTCAGATTGACTTTTTAGTGAAGGAATTAAAAAGGACAAGAAAAGTCCATTATAAATTAAAAAGATGATACAAATACACTAACAGAGTCTAAAAATGTTAAAATAAAAAGATAAATTTACAAAAACATTTTGCAATGAATTAATAGATAGCTATTAAAATCAACATCAAAAGTTATCTTTAACCTTATGAAGAATTAGAATTTCATACCCTCAAATGACAACAAATAGCTTGACATAATCTAGCAACTACTATATTATTGAACCTTGTGTTTATTTTATAAAAGCTTTATATATTATTCTGGTTAAAAAAAACTAATTCACAACAATACTTGTGCGTTTTTTTAAAGATTAACATGCATATTTTGACACTAATTCCAAAAATGCTATTTTCTGAAATGTATATACATCAAAATTTACAAAAATAATTAGCTACCTAAAATCTAAATCAAATATAAAACAATATTTGAAACATGCATTAGTCGACTAATATACAATATAAAAGGCACTGAAATTAAAATATTAACAATCACCTTTCTTTAGTACAATAGTTCAGTTAAAATTTAAGTTGGATTTCTAAAGTAAATTTAAAAACACAAAAGGCACAGTAGTATTTTTACAATGAATGTGTGCTTCTGCATATATCTATATGCACAATGGAAAAGCTAAAGAAAAGGAGTCAATATTATGAACTAAGTTTTTCATTAATAGTATTTGTGGAAAATGTTTCCTTATTTAAGAAATGCACAAAAATAAGTTCTCTTTATTTTAAAATGTCAAACATATTTGATATTCATAAAAATCAGGAACTCGTTTGAAGCAAATCTCTCTGTTGTATGCTACTTATATAACTATATTAATGGGAAAGTGATTTAATTAAAGTAACAGCTATTTAAACCACTCCTAGAGAGAATTTTTTCTTATTTTTATAGAAACCAAGCTACATATACATAGAGGCACAAACATACTAAGCATTCTTTATATTAGAAAATGATAAAACATTAAGACTAGATATAAAAAATTTATTGAAAATAGTGAATATTAATAAACAAAGGTAATTCAGAAATTAATCTTCCATGCTTAAATTTTTAATTTATTTGAAACCATATTATTTTTGGATGATAAATTCTTATAAACATCATCTGTACAACAACAATGCTACTAAGAGTATTAATGCAATTAGATCAAGTTCTTAGCTCCAATAACTTTAAACATAACCCACTAACAATTCAACGAAATTATTGTATTAAATTTTTTGATAATTTTAAAATGATTTCAAGCAAATCTGAAATTAAAAATAGAAACATGGAAAACTGTATGATGAAGATTTATACTGGTAATTCAGACAAAAATATTAGTCTCTCATTCCATTAAAAAAATAAGCCAATAATTATAATTTTAATTATATCAATATAAATGGATAACTTAAATTAAGTTCAAAATATATGTAATATAGTTTGAGGCTATAAACACCATAGTGAGTAGACTGCTATTCGAAGATCCATTTTTCAGTGAGACTGATAACTTGTCAAAGCCTTAGGGTTGCCATGAAAATAAGAATTCAAGCTTAGATGGCCAGAGTCTGATGAAAAAAGACATTAGAAAAGTGTTGTTTCACTATTTTGAAAAAGATCTAATATCTCAAGAAATATACATTATATCAAAAATCTGAAAATACTTTTGAAATAATTCCAAAAATATGAATTCAATCATATTAAATAAATCTTGGGAGTGGGACAAATTCAAAATAGCAACCCTCATTATTTTATTACTGATATGGATTCTCCAGAAAAAAAGTATCCCATTATGACTGACAGACTTTTGCATTTTTCATAACACTGTAACAGCAAAATAAAAATGTGGCAAAAATTGCTTAAAATGGAGATAATTTGAAAAGTAAAAGTCAGATCGAAAAAATGATAGAAGAGTTAAATATTTTGAAAAATCGATCTAATGATACCAAACTCAACCCCTTCAATTGAGACAGCAGTGACTCTCTAGGGTTTAAATGGGAATTTTTTAATCAGGTTTCACAATATTAATTGATGAAACATTTAGAACAACTTGTAGCTTAAGTTCTGATTATTTATGAACAGACCATTACACAGATAGTGGACAAAATTCTTTTGAATAAATGTATAAAAAGTAAATTTGATATTTTCTTGGAAATTGTGTTTTACATGAATACTTTTTTTTGCATATTTTAGTATCTATCAAGCAATAAAGTGCCAAGCAATTTTGAATCAAGCAATTTTGAATTAAAAAAAAATAAGTGGTTGATGCATACTATATTATATATATATATTTATATTATATAATTAGATATAGCCTCATTATTATAATGTAAAAAAATATATAAAGAAACACAACATTCAATTAAAAGTGAAAACTGGAAAAAACACTTTGTATCCATTGATAATTTAGTTTATATTAAAATTATTCTACAACAGATGAGGAATGTTTTGAAGGGAATCCATCTTTTTGACTTTTTAAGAATGAAATATATTTACATTCTAATGAAACAATAAAATCCAATCAATAAACTTGTTTCATCACTATCTAACAATTTTTTTACAACTTTTCTGCACAACAGACATCATGTACCTAAATATAAGGAAAAAGAGATTAAAGTACTTCACTTTCAAGCATTTTTAGTAAAATAAATGTAATCATGCATTAATTGTTTTTGATATCTGAAATTTGATTAGAGCGCAATGCATAATTAGCAATGCTAAAAGTAAATAATTTTTTTTTCTTTGATGTTATAGATAAATATGGTTATAGAGTGTATGGTTGGCAAGGCTTTCTTGGTGATGCTGTTGAAATGTCTGTTGGTGTTTTTCATTGCTTTAGAAAAGGTATTTATTCCATGGCTGGCATTTTTTCCAAAAGTAACATCTGAAGAAGTGAACTTTTGGAAGTGACAGAAAAAATATATGACCAATAACTTTTTAGGGGCAGGTATTAAATTTAAACAAATGAAATTCAATGCACTTTAAGTAAAAAGTTTTAATTTTTAAAACTGTTTTCATACCATTTACTTTTATGTAAAAATTTAAAAATCTGTGTAATTGATTACAACACTTTATTCTTAAATTTAATTTATCTTTACTTTTCCAAATAAATAGTTACTTTCTTAACTAGTTAAGCTATGCGTACAGTGTGAAAAAAAGATACTACTCTTAATAACTTTTGTTCCAACAATCAGATCTTTACGGTTCTAAGGTGCCTCAAACATAATATATTAATGCCAGTAAGTAATCAAATTACAGAATTATTTCTGTGGAAGAAATTTGCACTCTCTGATTTGTTCTTTGTATTTACTAGTTTATCTGTCCATTTTTTCTCCTAATGTTCATTTTATGAAAAATTCAGGAAAACTGCACTTTCAAATCATATAAGAATACAGCTATTCATCTAGTTTTTATTTGTTTTTGAAATTTAAAAAATTATTAACAAAAAATATGTTTACAGAAGGTGTTTTATCACTTATAAGAATATTACAAACCAAAAGATGTAAAATTTCAAGTGAGCATAGTATCCTTAAGTATTTTGCCTTATTAATGTAGTAAGTAAAAAACATGATTATTTTAAAGCACAAGAATTTTTTTAAAGGTATAAATATTAAAATTGCAGTTATTTGTAAAAAATGCTTAAAACAAATTTTATGAAAATTTATTCCATATTTAAAAATAAGTTACTCTAAATAACTGTAATATTTGAGGAAACATCCAGGAATTGCTGTGAAATATAATTGCAATTACAAGCAAACCTGATTTTTTTTTTTCTGCTGCTACAGCTTTCTATTTATCGCCATATGAAAACACCTAGTTCTTAATTATCAGCATGCCTAATATATCTGCTGCAAATTTGTTTCTTTTTTTCTTTAAATACTAGGAAACTTGCCCTTTAGATCAATTCACTATCAAAGCTCACTTCACCTACTCATATCTTTAATACCCCTAATTTCTTATATATTTATTTCTCATTTCCATTTCTTAACGTATTTAGTTTATTAAGTAATAATTTACATTTTAAGAAGACTAAATACATAGTTAAGTAAAAAAAAAAATCTCTTTAGCTGACGATAGAAAAGTTAGTAGAAAAAACTACAAAACCAATATTTTGTCTAGAAAGAAAAATAAATTCAATACACACCTTCTGAGTGATATCAGAGTCAGAAAATACATCTGTAGTTCTTGGAATGATTTCTAGTCTTATATCAGGACTAGTTCTATTGGAAACAAACTCCTGATGTGCATCTGAGCAGTAAGAATGATTATGAAGTTTTACAGATTGAGCAAAATTTCCTTCATAAGGCTTTTGATTAGGACTGACATCATCATCAGATGATTCTAATTCAATATTTAACGGAATGTCTGGATTAGATATGCTTGACATCAATTCTCCAGCTGTGTATTGACTGCTAGAATGTTCACTAGTATTTTCTTCTTCAGAAAAATATTCATCAGAACTGGATAAAGAATTCTCACTTATATTAGCAAGACTATATTGAGAATGTCTGTAATGAATAAATGAAAGCATTATTAAGATCAATTGGATACCTAAAATAAACAGATTATTACAGGGTGTGTAGCAAAATTTTTCAGCACAAAATAAGCACCTTTTAAGTACTTAAGGAGACAAAAAATATTTTTAAGCATTTAAAAAAAATATCAAAACTAGGATATGTGCAATAATATACCCCCCCCCCTCATATCGTTGAAAGTTTTTTATATATATGTTACAAAATGTAAAATAATTTTCAAAAGTTACATAATCATGATAAAATAACTAGTTTCTGACAAAGAATTCTTTTCTTGATTATATTAGCCACCATTAAAACAATTTATGCACAATTTTAAATATATTCAATATTGAGTGGATCACATTCTATTTTTTAAATTAATAATTACTTTACACAATTATGTAAAAAAAATGATACATTCAAAATTACAATTAATTTAAAATGGTTATTTAAAAAGAATACCCAACAAAACATTAACAAGATTACAATTATTGATACAAAATTTATAAAGATACATAAAAAATTAAGCGAGCTAAGCAAACTTTGATGAATTCACATCACAAATGAAAATTAGTGAATGGCCTCAAATATATTTTATTAAAATTTGCTACTTGGTTCAGTATTTCCTTAATGAAATAAATGCTTACAAAAAATTTAAATAATCTTGATATGTAAATACAATGAGAATTGAAGCTAAATATTTTTGTTGGAAGTAAATTATTATACAACACCTACAGTATCTGAAATAATTTTTTTTTTCTAATTTCAATTTTTTAAAAAATGATTTTGCCATTAAAAGATGACTTTAAGCTCTTCGGAATGACAAATCTGAATAAGATTTTTTTGCTCATTTAAAGTAGTGAAAGTCCCCTATAAATATTATGTAGTTTCTTCATAAAAATACCTAAAAGTACTGAAAATTTTAAACGTAATAATACAATGATAAAAAGGAATAAATAATAAAGTACAATAAAAGTTTACAAAAATTTTATGCAATTGGTGGACGGTCCCTCCAGTAAAGAATCTTATTAATTAAAATCTCAATTAATTCTTATCTTTATTAAATTAAATGAATGAAAGGGAGATGGAAATTTTGAGATTTGAATATTGTGATTTTTCACTACTCTGGAAATCCACACGAAAATACGTAAATAGTGAATGATGCCCAAGTTAAGTTCAAGGATTATGGTACTGATCTATAAATAGAGGAGCATAAGAAGGTCATTAGCTTGCCAGTGACGATGAAATTAACAAGAGAAATAAAATAGCTTTTAGGAAAAATAAATCGGCAATGCTTAGTTGGTCCCCGTATATTAGGAAAAATCCGAGAAATTATTCAGTTCGATTTCAGATGGCAGAAATGAAGCCTGAAATTTAGAATCTCTAGCAAAATGCAGCAGAGTTACTCATGAGAATACAAGAATCCTTCCTACGGAATCCAGCTCAGTATACACATACCCACAAGTATTTCATCAAACATTTAAGATGCTTTAACAGAGAACATTTAAGATGCTTAAGGGCTTTAATAAGCTACGGACCGATGGTATGCCGAAATAGATTGTTGTTGGATGAATTGCGAAAACCACGCATTTTGCTAAATCATGGCAAAAACTAAGCACTTTTTAAAAACACCTAATGAAAAAAATACCTTTAAAAGCTTCTAAAAAACATAAATCTAAAATAAGCATCTTTAAGCACTTTATAAAAATGCTTCACACTCTATATTAGAATAAATGATTAAATTACCTTGGCGAGTCCCTTCCATCATCACTGTCACAAGATTCTTCCGTGGCACTGAATTCCTAAAAAAAATAATAAAATAGATTTTAGCATAAAATGCTAATGTTTATAAATTAATATTAACACACACCGAATACCATTTACCTGAAGACTACTTCCAAATCTTTTCAAAAGAAGTTTACCTCTAAAAGAGCCCATTCTACAAAATTTTCTAGAAAATCTTTGCTGTTGAGTATTTCTTTTTGATTTTTCACTCATGTTTAGTAGTTCATGAGAATAGTTACCTAAATTAACAGCAGTGCCAGAGGGTAATGCACACAAATGTTTATGACATTCAAATTCATTGGAGTTTATGGCAGCATTTTGCTCATAAGACTGGTTACAACTTTTGATCACAGAAGATTGAGTAAATATAGATGATTGATGATATGAGTTATGAACACTGACATCAAGAGTAGAGGATGATGAGTTTGTGTTTTTAAGAAGAGTAAAATCATCTGAAATAGACATACTTTGCTGAATTGTGGCACTTAAGTCATTGGCTTGCTCTTGGAATCTCAGATCTGTTTGGGTTTCTGAATCCACAACATTTGATATGACATGTTTCGTATCTTGTTTAAACTCTTCAATTATTTTTGGAGGAACAGAATAATCAAATTTGTCATCTGCAAATTGGCCAGAACGCACATTTTTTGCTCTTCTAATTCGGGATTTAGCAGAACCATGAAAAGCAGAATAGCTATCAACTGACTTTGCAGCTGTAATTGGCCTGAATAAGAAAAAATAAATGGAATTTAATTTGAATAAGTAAATATTTAGAACACTATGAATGAAAACAAAAGGTAAATGGGGCATTAATGATCAACCTGCATTTGAAAAAAAAAAAAAAAAAACGCTATTTACATTGTGTTGAGATAATTTTGGCACATTTATACAAAGATAGATGCTAGAAGTAATCATTCATACTTGCATACTAAAATTAAAAGGCAATTGGAATCAGTATTGATTACTACGAAAGTCTTCATCTATTTCAATATTTCAAAGGGAAAAATAAAACACTTTTCAGCTAATGAAATTAAATCTTTTGAGAATTCTACTTATTGTAAAAGATATATTTGTACTGCCCAGTCTGGCAGTACAAATATATCTTTGGTCTAAACCAGTAAATACTACTGGTCTAAACCAGTAACTTTAATTAAAAGGCAAGATAAAACTATTTCATAAGAAAAATCAGTCAATCCCAATACTCATTTAACAAGTTTACTTTGTACAGGATTTAAAATTTTACATCAAAATATAGCTATTGTTTTCAGATAAAAAAATAAAAATAGCTAAAAATGAAGAGAAAATATCTCACATTTCTTACAACATAAGTTCAAAAAATATTTCCTGATCAATGATCAGCCAGAATATGAATTCCTCAGATTTATGTGTTATTCAGCTGAGCGCAATTTATATGGAGGCAGCATAAATTTTTGCATTTAGAAAATTATGAATCCAAATTATAATTTACATATAATTTTTATAAATGAGTAATTGATGTATTTCATGAAATTTCAATACTCATAGATGCAAATAAAATGTAATTTAAACATCAATGAATAAAAGTCATTATGGTTTCAGAAAAATTACGTAATTTTTTTAAAATTAGTATTTTTTTTATTAATCCTGTGAACCTTAAATTTCAATGTTATAAATATGCTTTAGATTGTAAGTTGGTCAGAGACAAAACTTGCTGCCCTGTGGCTGAGGGATAGCATATTTTGCTCTCATGCCACATGTCCAGGGTTCTATCATCGGACCAGGTAAGATGATTCAGCCTTTCATCCCTGCAGTTGGTCAATAAAATGAGTATCAAGCATGCTTGGGGACTAAATATTGGGAGTTCCACTTTCAGCTGATTACCCATTTGAAACGAAACACAAAACCCAAGGTCAAGAAAATTGGAACGGGCACAGTAGGTCCTGGTTTTTCATGGGCTGTTGTGCCGCTGAGTTCAGTTTTGGAGACAAAACTTGCCTTTTCCATAGAACAAATTTAGCATGCTTTGAAACAAATTGCAGTGAGCGCTATTTAATTAGTGTATAGAAATTGCAAAATGTGATTTTTAAATCATGAGCATCCTTATCACTGAGTGATTTCACACCGATAGGAAATGAGATGTGTTGTTCGCAAATCACATTAATAGGAAGCATATAGAGGGATTGGAAGATTTCGTTAATTATGTATCACATCACAGGATTCTCAAATTTTGATATTCCACTATTGCATAGTGTGATTTGTAAATCACTTTAAAACAAATCCCAATGCATGATTTGTAAATAGACTTTCATGCTAACCAGGATGTGCGATTCACAGAGAAGAAAAGCAAATTAAAAGAGTAAATAGATTAAATCAACAGGCTGAAATTATAAAGTTATCTTTAACGCAACAAACAAATTCAAAATTCGAGGATACAGTGCACATCAAGTGGAAATAAATTGTACAAAAACAAATACTGAATGCAAGATATTCAGTCATTCAAACATCAGTGTCATTAGCAAAAATCTGGTGAGAAAAGCAGACGGGAAGGAAAAGCTTCCTTCCACCTTTATCCTCATATTACAGTTTTCTTTACTCACTTAAGATAATCACACTATATATTTCAGGCACTATGTATATTAGTTTGTTCTCCTTATTAGATTGGATTGAATACATAGTTTAGTATTAGAACTAGAAATTTTATTTAAAATATACATTTTTAAAAAAATGATTTAATATTAACAAACCAAATGTAGAAATTTTGTGAAAAAAATCAAGCTTTCTATTTTATGTATTTGTATTGAATGTTATAATAATAAAGATAGGCACTCCCTCAACATGCAGTTAAGCGACAAGTGGGTCATGGAGGTTAAAGCCCTACAATATAAATTTACAAATGTATTTTTTATTACAGAGGTGGAAACAATTTAATGAGAATTATTTCAAATAATAAAATACTAACTCAGGAGTAGGTTTTTGACTTCGCTTTTTGCAAGAGCGATTATTCTTTAAAAACCTTCGAATATTTTTCTTGGAGCACCTTGAATAAGTAATTCCAGATTTTAACCCTTGTTCACGTCTGAAATAAAAGTAATAAAAATTTAAGTCAGAAATAAGAACTGAAAGTGAAGCAATGATAAACTTGTTAAAAAGTGAGATTTTTTTATGCCAAATCAATGATTTAATAAAAATAATATTAGTGTAGGATGCAACAATTCAAATAACTGAGTCTTACTGAATAAGCTCTTGTTCTCTTTGCTCCACTTGGAAAAGGCAGGTAGCAAGCTCTAAATATAAATTATTTACTCGTTCTAACTTTTTTTCATAATGTTCTCGAATATCTTGTGCATGTTTAAGCTCTTCCTGTCTTTGTTTAATTAAATCTTCCTCCATATGAATTCCATATGTAGAATCGTTCTTGATTTTTTGCATGTAGGAACCTATTTCCACTTTCCAAGTTGCCTAAAATTAGTGGAATTAAACAATCAGTAAATAACACTAATTTAAAATTAATACTTTAAAATTCATCTTATCATAGAAACCATTCACTTAATTTACTTTATTCTTCAATTAAATTATGAAAAAAGATTTTCTTTCCATTTTGATTGACTAAACAAGTAACATTTTTGCCCATATTCTACAGACATTTTGAAAATTGTCTCAACTCATGCAGACTGGCTTAAAGACACACATCTTGCCAATGAATGAACAAAATACACCTTTAACCTTAGGAATATTAATTTAATTTTATCCGTAGTTTAAAGTTTTGTTAAACTTGTTATAACTATCAGCCAAATAGATAAAAAAAAAACATAAAAGTTGCGAAAAATTCTCATGACTGAAATTTTTTTACATAAAAAAAGAGCAAGTCCATATTTTTTGATAAAAAATTTAAATGAAGATCTTTAGACCTTAAAAATAGAATGAAATCTGATCTAAAATATAAATAAATATGCTGAAAACTCATTTTAGAACGATGTGAAGACTAGTTATGACTGATGATGACACATTGTCTTGGAAATTATCATTTTCCCTCCTTTTATTTTATTTGTGGAACATTTATGAATTTATCCTTTTATTTTTTCAGCATGTTACTTAGAGTACTGAGCTGAAGTAACAATAATAGTACTAACTATTTATTGTTACTTTATTTCATTTTTATTATTGAAATTCCTAATTGAGATATATTAATGACTTTGTCTCAAGTACAACAGGCAATGACAAATTTTACTTGAATATCAATGCTTATAATAGGCTATTAGTATTATGGGCTTATCAATATATCGAAGTATGCTACTTACAAAATAATAGATTGCACATTTTTCTTTAGATTAAGTTACAAAATTTTTTTTATCTAAAAAATTACCTGAGTCTGAAAATATTCTTCTTCGGGAGTACTTAAAATTTCAACAGCTGCTATGTCTAAATGCATCAATATATGTCTAAAGGATGGTCGATTTCTTGGTTTACCACTCCTTGAAGAATAAATATAAAAACAAATTATTTTATAACCAGTTTTTCGAAACTTACATTACTTTAAATTTAAAAAAATGTAGATTTAGAAAAAGGTATGCAGGAAAATATAAGAAAAGAATTAAAATGGTTTAATAATTAAATTATTGGACAATTTGAAATACTGAAATATTTTCAAATTTTTTAAGAAATACTGGAGTTTTGTAACTTCAGGTACGTTAAGAGCATATGAATATTGACAGTTCTCAAAGAAAATTTGGTTACAATGCTTATGGAATTAAAAAAAAAACTTAAATTTATACATCAGACAACCTAATATATATAAATCTGTATTTTTTACAAATGATTATAATTGATATTACTTATTATAACTGAAATGTACTAGTAGTTTTATTAAAAATAGTATGTACAGTATAGAACCCGTTATCCGGAAATCAGAAAACCGGAAAACCAAAAAACCGGAACGAAATTCGATAAATTTTCCCACCATTTTTTGAAATATTTTTTTTTTCCTCATAAGATTTTAGGATTTTTCTTTCTTTTTTGAAAGGTGTTTACCTTACCATCACTTTGGAAATAATCATTAGTGTATTACTTCATTGTTTTTTCTTCTTTTTAAGATTATCTCCAAAATTTTTTTTTTAGTTGCGTTTAACAATAAAAAAAAAAAACGGCTTTTTGTAGCGATTCAGAAAACCGTAAAAATCAGTTATCCGGAATAGCGATGGTCCCGATCGTTCCGGATAATCGGTTCCCTACTGTATTATGATATAGGTATTTCATAAAACTATTATAATGATAAAAATTTTTAAAAATTAATATAACGATGCAGAGATTTTGTTTTTAATATGCCGTGCAAAGATAAAAAATTACGAAACAGTTTACAATTGATTTCAGAAATCAGGGTTTGATACAGGTAAAAGGCTGCTTTGCAGCCCCCTTACAAAATTCAAATTTTTAAAAGCAAATTCAAATTCTGATTTATTGGCGTGTAAAATTAGGATTTGTCATAATTCGAACGCGTCAAAGAAGGATTACAAACGCTGTAATAACATCTTATTGTAAATATAAGAATTAGCAACACTATGTGAAATAGGCTGAAAAATGATTGATAACTGTATAAACTATTATCAAACAACCTGAAATTACAATGGTATCATGATGAATTGAATGTGCACAAAGAATAACTCAAAATTGAAAAGCGCACATTGCATTAAAAATATCAAAATTTGAAAAAACTACATAAAAGGAGCCAAAAAATGATAAACAACTGCCGAAAAAACTATCACCAAACAATGTGAAATGACGATATAATAGTCAAAAATTGAAAGCTTTAAAAATGATAGCTCAAATTTGATCTATGTTGTAACACTAGATTAAATATATTGGAATTAATTAGAAGAAACCATGAGGAAGCAGACGAAAAAATGACGTTAAAAACACATGAATATTCTTTAAAAAAAAGTCAAAATAAAAACTAAATGTCTGCCATTAACTATTTTTCATAAAAATAATTTCCATTCTTCTCAAAAATAATTTTTTTTTCTCACAAAAATCAGCCTTGCAAAATAAAACCTGAATTGACCCCTGGAAATGCATTGAAACAAAAAGACATTTAATACAACACTTGATATATATAAGCGTAATTAAACCCCTTACCAGCATTGCTTTAAAAGTAACTTGAATCCTTCCGGACAGGTGGTAGGTACAGGTAAATGCAAACTATTGCTACCAACTCCCCAAATAACAGCAGAAGAATCTACACCTTTGTAAGGAGTTTCACAAGTAAGCAACTCCCATAAAACAACACCAAATGACCTTAAGAAATTAAAACAACATAAAAAAACAATAACTACAATCAACACCTTTAAAATTTTCAGCTAAATTTTTTCTTACCAAATATCAACCTTTTCAGAGCAAGATTCATTTCGAATTACTTCAGGAGCCATCCAAGCAACTGTTCCAGCAAAAGACATTTTCACACTTTTGTCATTCCACTGTCTACTAGTTCCAAAGTCAGAAATTTTTAAAACATCATTGTAGCCAATCAAAATGCTAAAAACAATTAATTTTGATTAAACACAATGCTCTTTAACAATCTATATCATAAAGTGAGGAAGCTTTTAAAGAGTATTACATAGAAAAAATTTATTTGTGTGGGAACCTACTTTTTGGAAGAACTTAACACAAACAAGTAATTTTAGCTTAGCTATTTTTCTCAAAATATATTTTAATAATATAAAAGATTTTGCTCATTTGAAAATACTGAACAGAAACAAGAGGCCAAGGCCTCAAGAATAAAATGAATACTCCAGACTTTCAAGATGAATTACAGACTTGTAAGAATTCTTGTATCTTTCAGTGGATCTTGTTTATAAAATAAAAATATGAACTTATAATAAGTAGGCCAATTGAACTTTTTATAGCCCTAAAAAATAATGTGTCATACATTTTAAGAAAGCATCTGAAAAACAATGTATTTATTGATATCATTATGTAAACTAAACAAATGGTTGTTGATTCATTTGACTAGCATTATTCATTTAAGAATAACTTTGCATGAAATGTCAAAAATTAATTTCAACACCAAAACTATATAAAAAACAAAGTTGCTGCTTACATGATTCCATTTACTACAAATTTTGATATGGAAAAGGAAATAACAGTTGCTGCTTTATTTAGATCCACACCAATTCACTTTGCTTTGTATCTGACTCATGTCAAAAATCATCTTCTAAACAGGGCACAACAGAAAATTCTGCCTTGCAAATTGAAGATTCCACATACAATACATTGGTTACAGGTAATTAAGGTCACTGTTATAAATACTCTTTATTACATACCTAATAATTTTTTCTCTTATCGGAAGCTTGTTAAATTAGCTCAAATAACGATCCATAACAACTTAGATATCACAGATAAAGCACATCAGATCGAAATAAACATGAACATGCAAGTTATACAAAAATGGCGATCACGATTGAAGCTTCTTCAAATGAATAATCATTTTATTTAATTTATTACATTAAAAAAAAGAATCACAAAATACAATACAAGAGAAACACAAAACCAGTTATCCTGCTTACACTCCTCAACGTAAGAGTCATCGGTTGCATGTAATGTTACTTCTGTAATACAATCACAAGAGGAAAAAAGGAAACCTCTTTCTCTCTTTATCATAGAAAATCATAGGAATGGGAGAGAGAAGGCATAGAAGTTGGAGGGTATTCAGTTAATTATGAACTTTAAAATATTAGATGTTGACTGAATAAATGTAATTTTAAAAAATAAACCTTAATTCAGAAAATTTTGTAACATACTTTTCTGACTTTAAATCTCTATGTATAATTTTATGGATGTGTAAATAGTTCATTCCATTTGCAACTTGCTTTGACCATTCCATGACTTTCTTTGGAGGTATCTCAGTACCTTGACGTAATAAGTTATGCAATGTTCCAGCTGGGCAATACTCCATAATAATACAGTAGCAAGGTGGTTGTACACAGACACCCCTAAAGAATAAAAATTTACAGCAATGAAAATCATAGCAATAAATTTCAACTTACAGAAATAATTTTCACTGTTGCAAGGCACAATGTCTCATATATAAATAAAAATATTACACCATTTAAGCAAAAGAAAATATCATTTTAATTAAAATGCCACAAAATTTAAAAATGAAAATAAAGGTTAAAAAAATACAACAAAAGAAAATTTATGCACTTTTTTTCATTAGAGAATATCAGTTCTGTAATATTTCATACTAAATAATAACCTGACATGAAGTTATGTAAATTAGAGTTATAAATAAAATCATAACTCAAAGAATACATTTATAAATTATTTCTATTTAAAAGAAAATTACGTGATTTAAATTTATGATTATTTTAAAAAGTCAAGTGTATTAAATTATGCTAACCTGAATAGAAATAGTAAAATAATCAGAAAAATAAATGTAACTGAAAGGGAAAATAAGTCTAGGAGAATATGCTAGGCAATATAAAACATCAAAAAAAGTAAAAAAACAACAAATTATTATAATTACGAAGTTTCTTTAAAAATACAATAAATTAAAAAATATAAATAACTTGTGCATAATTGAAGTTAAATTATATTTATTCAAAGCAAGAACGTTTTGAAAACAATAGCACAATAAACAATTAATACACAAAATATTAGGATTGATTAAAAAATCAGTTATGGGAAAGGCAAGCTCCAATCAGATTGGTAAAACTTAAATGTGTTATACTAACTTAACGAAAAAATAATGTTTTTATATCAACTGACAAGCAAAAAAGAAATAATAAATAAATGATAAAAATGTGATATATTTAATCTTTTGCTATAAAAAAAATTACTTTATCACTCTAAAATATAAAACAGAAATGCAGGAAAGAGCAAAATAAAGGGAAAACTTATTAATCGATAAATAAAACAACTTTACCTCATTTAGGTCATCATAAAAAAAATAATGAAAAAAGAACAATAAAAATGTTATAAATAATTTATTTAACAAAAATAATTGTGTTGCAATTTAAAATTTTTTTTTACAAAAATGTGTTTAAAATATTTTTTTAAAATAGTTTGTGAAAAAAATAATTTATAAAACATAATTATTTAAGAGACAAACTTAGTCTAGAGCACCGTACTGTAAAAATTTTTTTTTTTTGAAATTAAATAATGTAATGAAAATTATTTAGGATACAAACATAGCCTAGAGTACCTTACTGTAGAATTTTTTAACAGATGTTATTTAATCTCAAAATTATGATTTAAAATAAAACTAAGAATTAGCATTTAAAAAACTGATTTTTTTTTTACAAATAACTAATTAAATGCAATTTAACTAGATAAAAAAAACTGTATTTTTAAAAGAAAATATTTGTATGAGCAATAAATGAAGTAGTAAATTGAAGTAATTCGTTTTGTAGTTATTATAGTTTCTTCAATAAATTTGTGCATTAATTTTTTTTTTATAGACTGAACAGCAAACTGAAAATGGTCAATAAAAAATTTAGTAATAAGAATAGTATAAATTAAAAAATGAGATTTAATTAACATTACAAAAAAAAAAGTTTTTCACAACTAGTTTATTTTTTAAATTCCTTTTCATTTATTTTAGTTTCATAGCTATAAATTATTATATATATACATATGCAAGCACAAACACTCATTTTAGAGCCTAGTTAAGTATTCATACTTAACAGTATTTGATTAAAAATATTAATACATTACTTGCAATTACGAATACAATATGCGATTTGTAGTAGTATTTATGTTTAGTATGCAGTTTTTATTAAATTTATTAGTATTAATAAAAATTGCTTATGATATTTTAACAGCTTTTTACACAATAATGAAATTGGGTTTTACTATACTTCTTCACCTAAAATATTGAAAGAAATTAGATTTCATTTCTTAAGAAATTCATTAAAGTTATTTTCCAAATTAGCGTTTACACTTGTTCTTTCCCTATCCCTAACCTTTATGTACTCAAAAACTCATTCCAGATTACCAGTTAGACAGCTGATACCTTTTTATTGTTTTAAAGTGAACTTGTTGGTTGGAATTTATACTTTTACACAACATTTTATTTAAACTGAAATATTTTTTACCATGGTTGAATACAACATGAACATGTAAAATGATCAGCATGCACAATGGTATCTCCCACCCACCTCAAGTTATTTATACTTTACTTAGAATGTATCCAGAATGCTGCAATTTTATTAGATGGAGAAAGTGAGCAATAACCAGATTAGTCGGTAATTTACATTTATTAACTTGCAGATAAAAAAAAGTCCATCTGTTTGTTCAGCAGTTAATTATAAAAAAATGAGTGCATAACTTATATTAAGTCATACTGTTATATAGATTAGTAATGACCAGCTCCTACTGAAACCCTTTTATATATATATAAAAAAAATTAAATATTAAAGGAATTAATTTATGATCCGTATGCTTCCATTGTTCAGTGATTTTTTTTCTCACCAATCACTTTTGGTTCATTTTCAAAGGCACCACTTTCATCATATGCAGAAATCGAATTAAATATTGCAATTCTATTAAATTTGAAGCTCAATTGTATTACGGTCATTTTTTAACAACACAAACATGCATTTCAAGAATAATAATAAAAAAATGGCAGAGCTATATAAAATGTTAACCCTTATGCTACAGCTTTGTTACCAGTCTGCTGCAAATTTCATAAACATATAGCATTATATGCACACAAAACTATTGGGTTGTTCGGAAAGTAATTTCGTTTTTTTTGGGTAAAAGGAAAGACAATTTTCGTATAATGAATAGATATTTTATTAAATTTTATATTGGCCATTCTTGTCCAATACCTTTTGCCATCNCATAAATATTGGGTTGTTCGGAAAGTAATTTAGTTTTTTTGGGGGGGGAAATGAAAGACAATTTTCGTATAATGAATAAATATTTTATTAAATTATATATTGGCCATTCTGGTCCAACACCTTTTGCCATCTTTCTGGTAGTAGCATGATTCCACGCTCATTGGTCTTTGCTGGCAAAAACTGATCCAGGTGACTTTTGACCTCTTCATTAGAAGTAAAGGTTTTAAACTCCAAAAAATTTTGCAGTGGCCGGAACAAATAATAATCTAAAGGCGCCAGATCTGGAGAATATGATGGGTGTGACAGTGTATCCCATTAAAGCTGTAAAAGCTTTTGGCGAGTGACCAAACTTGCATGAGGTCTCGCATTATCTTGGTGGAACACTATACCTTTTCCGTTGAATTATTCTGTCCTTTTCTGTTGAAGTGCATCAGTTTGTCCAGTTGACGACAGTAGACTTTCGAATTAATTGTTGTGTTATCTGGTAAAAGCTCAAAAAAAAAAATAAAATATTCCTTTAAAATCCCACCAAACAGACAGTATCACCTTTTTTTGATGGATATTGGCTTTTGAATTGTTTTGAGCCGGTTCATCTTTTTTGCTCCATGATCTCTTGCATTCGACATTGTTATAAACAACCCATTTTCCGACATAGTAATGATGCGCTTAAAAAATTGATCATTATCAGATGACTGAGAAGCGAATCACAGATGTCAATGCGACGATACAAATTTCTCTCCGTGAGAACACGGGGAACCCATATATCGAGCTTTGAGGTCAAACGCAATCTCAAGTGTTGTTATTCACCGATTTGCATCATATAAGGTCTTTATCAGCTTCAACCGGCTTTCCAGAACGTGGTGCATCTTCGACATCAAAATTTTGCAAACCAGTTCTGGCACTGGTGTACTGTCAACACATCTTCTCCATACACTTCGGTTAATTTCTTTCTGGGATGAACAGCATTTTTACCTTTTTTATAGTAAAAAAGTCAAATACGATGAAAATGCTGCTTATTGCACTCCATATTTAAAAGGGCACCAACCAAAAACAACTGCGTGGAATTAATTGAACTTTTTCACACACAAGCCTTGCTGTATCTGCTCTCAAAACATTCATAATGCAGCTTAAGTGTGAAGTTGGGTTCGGAAAAATACAATTAAATTCTCTGTCCGAAAAAAACGAAATTACTTTCCTAAGAACCCGATATTATTTAAAGGCGCTAAATATGCATATTATAAAAAATATACAACAATAAACACATTAAAGTTACTCAGTAATAAAATGAATATTTAATGTCTTACCTTCAAAATAACTTTAAATTATACCAATCTTTAATTGTCAATTAGGAAGACGTACAAAAATATTAAATAAATTTAGTTTCAAAATTGACTCTACAACCATATTAACTCTTTTTACATACAACATATACATTTAACACATAATGCAGCAAAGTCAACAAGCCTAGGCACTATTCCAGAGATGCCAACTGCTCCGGACACGCCAAAATAATTAAAAAAACGGTAAATAACTACAAAGTAAATTTTGAAAATATTTGACTATTTTTGCCTGCTTTTTAAAACGTATAGCATGACATAAGTACTATAAAGTGGTGAATAATATAAGCCTACGAATTATTTAGAAATAGTGGTGGATAAAAATCTACTAAATTGAATTTATTAAACCAAGAATCACAATTGATAAACTACCACTTTAATATATATATTTGCTGTCCGGAGCAAGTTGGCATCTCTGCTATTCAAAACAAAATGCCTAATGATAGTCTTGCATTGGAGACGAATTGATAGTTTCACAACCATCACTTCAAAATTAATTTTATCATTATTAAATCATCCAGGCAAAGTAGATAAAATGAAGAAAAAAATACAACAACATACAAGCATTTAATTAACGTTAAAAAACATAAGCGTATAGTATTCCAGACAAATTTATGCCAGGCAATCACACTTAAACTAATAATAAACAGGGAGGAAGATTTTGAGCATTGCTTCTAAGATATGAGCATTTTGTTGTAAGATTTTGAGCATGGCTTCAATATGAAAATCCACTACTAATCAAAACAACTAGATAATTTCTGAACTTAAAAAAATATTAGAGGAAAGAATTTTTGATAAAATTATTACAGGGCAATCACATAAACTAGAGAGTCAAAGCTTTGCCCCACTCATCATTACATCACATTTATGTGTGTGTACGCAAGTACATACAATCAAAACACCATGGCAGTTTTCATTACTCATGTTAGCAAGGGAAAAAAAAGTTTTTTGAAAAAAAAAAAAAAAAAAAAAAAAAAAAAATATATATATATATGGATGCAGAGGCATAACAAATCAGTTCCATATTAAATAAGTAAGCATCTTTAAAATGAGTTTTACAACTGAATAATGATTATAAAATGAAATTTCAGTCTGAACACACAATATTTAAGAATCATTAACTGCAATTTATATTCAATCTATTTATAAATCATGCAAAACAGATTAGGAATATGTAGAACAATTATTGATAACAGCGAATCATGATATAGGATAAAAAAACTATAATGAAGTTAAGAGCAATCTCTTCAGATATATTTAATTATAAGTCACGAGGGTCTGCGAAGCAATGACTTTAGGTAGCCAGCTGGCTAAACTAAATTATTAAGATATATTTTTATGTAATCTCAGAATTATATTACCTAAAAGCAACAACATTGCAGTGAGATAACTTCTTCAAATGCTTGATATCGGTTTCAATCTTTTCTCGAACTTTCTTTACTGCAACAAGCTCTCCATTTAAGTGGCCACAAAAAACTGCCCCTTGAGCTCCACTGCCCAGAAACTGTAAGTCTTTAATGTCATCAAAAAGTATTTCCCAATTATCTGTATAAAAAAAAGGTAAAATACAAAACACTGATTTCAACTTCCTTCATCAGTTAACCTTTTTAAATGAAAATAATATGTTGAAACTAAGATAATAGCTTAAAAAAATCTGATTGCTAAATATGATTTAAGTTTAATCATAACTCTTATAAACTTTATCAGGTATGTTTAAAACTAGAAAGCCATCAATAAAGGGAAAATGTATTCTAGTAATTAAAAATAAGAGAATTCTTGAAAAGGTAAATAGAATTTTTGCTTTTAGTTAATATATGCAGTTCAGCAGTTAAACTATTATGAACAGTTCATATAAGATTATAAACAAAAGGACATATTAAAAAAAAAAGGAAATAATTAAATTTTTTTAATCCATATCTAGGTAAATTTCAAAAATATTTCTGTAATGTTATAAATAAACGATTCATTTGAATGATCATTCTTAGTTGGAAGGATTCATTTATTGTTTTTGCAGAATTAACTATAACTAAACCAAAACTTTGACGACACACATTGTTTATAAAAATAATCATGAAATGTAAACTTTTAAGAGTTATGATACAGTTGAATTACTGTTTAACTAGGAAGTGAAGAAACAGTTGATACTCCAAGAAACCGGAAAGCTATCAAAACAATAATTGAATGAAAACTTATTTATTCTTTTTATGAAAAGTTATCACAAAGTGAAGAACAACCAAGAATCTGCCTGTTTGAGTGCTACAAAAGAGCTCAGATTTCAACGATACAAAATAAATGGAGTTTAAAAGCAAAGAGCTAAAAACTATCTCACTAATCTTTACAGGTATAAAGAACTTTTTATTCTGGCCACAGGAGACCAATGGCAAAAATATAATGACATAGAATAGTCAGCATATGCCCCCTCAACTTTCTTGCATAATTAAATGACATCAATAACCCTGATTTATAAGGGGTTGAGGTGAGATATGCACCGGTGGAAAGTCATTAAAATTAACCAACAATCATATCAAAAACTTATTTTTGAAGGTGTTTTGCGTATTAATTGCAAAAACTTATATTTTTTAAAGAATTTTAACTAAAACCAAAACTTTTACAGGCATAAGATTTTGAGATAGTGTCTGTATGTTTTTTAATGCCGTAATATAAATTAAATTAGTGTACAATGGCTTTTTATATCTAGCAAAAGCTAATAAATGATAATGCATATAAAGATGATGTAATTCTTATTTTTCATGAATCCCGTTCATGAAGTATCAGACTTCTCATTGCACAGCTATTGTTTGATATGTCTTTTCATAATGCAAAATCAATTAGTGCAATGAATAAATACAATGAAAAAGTATTTATTAATAAAATTTAATCAATAATTGTGTGGTGAAAATTATCCTTTATTTTTTAGATTTAAGACATACACACTTTATTGTTCAATTAATCTTACAAAAAGCTTTTTTTTTTAATAATAAGAATATAATGCAATTATTGCATCAGATTACATGCATCTCAGTATTGTTTCTGTACATATTTGTTGCATGGTCCACAGTGCCCCTTGTGGTGGACAAACCTATCCCACGGTTGGGGCACATTAGTCCAATCTTCAATGCCTTTTTCAATTATCATTAAAAAAATTAACAACTGAGCATCTTGGAAAAAATAAAAAACCATGAATGGGAGAAACCACTTGAGAAATGGGAGATTCATTTAATAAAAAATATTCTTAGTGAGATAAAAAATAAGAACTGAAAGAAGACCATCTAACTCTGGTTCCCCCTATAACACTAGAAGGTTCCACATCTTTGATTATTATAGCTTACCGACCCCCGGAATTGCGTGATCTGAGTCTATTTTGCTCTTTCATTTAATCTTTATTCTAATTTTATTCAACACCCCAGTTTTTTAACTTTATTTTAATTATATTAGGACCACAGCCTTCCTATCAATACAAAGAAAAATTTGGAATATATTTGTCCATTTTCTTAGAAAATTCTTAGAAGTAAAGGAAAACTTGGTACTTTAGGATTATCTTGTCAACGCTCGTGAAAATACGCAAATCCTCTGGCGCCATCATAAAGAAAAGCAATTTCCAAAATAAACATTCTTAACACATTAAATTTATCAAATAATAATTATAAAATAATAGCAAAAAAATTTAAATGTAAAAATACGTAATAAAAAAGTGCAATAAAAAGAATCAAAACAAAGTTTTTTTATAATTGCACATTGAATAATTCTTGAGTATAACCATATATATTATTATAAATCATTTTCGAAGCCAAAAATCCTTGATAGCTTTTAAAGTGCAAACAAACAAGTAATTATCCTTGTGCAGTCACCGCCACATAAATTCTATTAAATACAAATCCAAGTTTTTCGTGTAATTCTGCAGTGTTTCTTGTTTGCCAATACCCACATTGTAAATACAATAAAATTTCAGACTATTGAAGCAGAAGCTGCCTTTTGGCGATAACATGAGGTTAGGTAAAAATGGTAGACGGGATAATACCAAAGTACCCAAAACTTTTGACATAAATTTAAAAAGCATCTGTAAGGAAATTCCATTTAGTGTCATAAAGTAGAATCAATATTTAAGCATTGAGATATAGTCTGCAGTATCCCTTTGCAAAGTTATTATTCTAAAAATACTGAGTTAGTAAAATTAATAGTTTTTCTTTAACTATCAGATGTTGAACGACTTTTACAAGTAACAAAATATGAAAAACAGAATTAGTGACCACAAAAAGTAGATACTGAAAAAAAATTATAAAAATAAACTCAAAGCACCACATTCTAATTTAAGCTTTAGATTTAAGGCAAATTCGCAAAATAAATTTTTTAACTATGGATTGATTTGGTTTCAATTCATATTTGAATAATTAAAGAACTTAGGTTTGTTGCCAAATTTAACTAATTTTAAAAATTATCAGAACAGCAATCCAGCTATGTTAATTTTAAACATTTATTTGAGGTATTATTCCTTATTATATTAACACATTAAATTTATTTAATGAACTAAACCTTTATCAAGGCTTAAACTCACATTCCCTAACATAAATTTATTTGATGCACATATATTTCCAGAAATGCACTGATACTTAAACATTTAATAATTATATATTTATGTTTATTTAAAGTCAATGTTACATAATTCCTACAGCAAATATATTAAATTTCGTAAACAAAAAAGGAAAAATTAAATATTTTTCATTTTTTTACATTTAAACTAAAAAGTACATAAGTTAATAATAAAAAATTAAGATATTAAACAAAATTTGAAAAAAAAAATGTTTTATACTAGCTAATTTTGTTCATTGGTAATATTAATTATTTGTAGGTGTATATTTTTGCAGGCATGTATGTATCAACCAAATTTTTGGAGTTCAAAATGTGGAGCAGAACATAATTTTACTATTTTGTAAAATGGAAAATTTTGTTCTGTAAACAGAAAATAACTAATATATATATTTTACCTTCTTTTAGCTCGTGTGTGGTTGATTTGCCTAAAACTGTCCAAACAGGCTTCAAGCATCGTAGAAGTCCATCAAACCATCTGTTAACACGGCTATTATCACAGTAATTTAGGTCGCCATCTTTACTTCGAGTAAGTGACGTGGTTTTTTTACAAGTTGAATTTATCACAGCAGATGATCCAAATAGAATAGTTGGTTCCACAGAGAGAGTTTTTGAGTGATCTTGAGCAAGTGAAAAACTACTGCCAAATTCATTGAAGCTTGATAAATGCAATAAACTGAAAATATATTTATACATTATTAAACATTTTTCTCTTGACATAAAAATTCTATTTATAACAGGATTATTGAAATAATACTTAAATAAATTCAAAAGCCACATCATACAAATTTGTGTAATTAAAAAGCAAAGAAAAGACACCTAGAAGTCACAGCTTCCCACTTCTTTTTTTGTGATGAAATTAAAAAAGAACATATCTTTGTCCAGTTCAATTTAATCTTTCCTTTTGAGGATAAGGGCAGGATTAGGACTGGGCAATGCAAGAAATTTTATATCGTCGGTTAGACATTGCGATGTATCTCAATTTAACATACGTTCGAAAATCATTTTTATTGAAATAAAACTACACAAACAGAAATCAATCAAAAATAAATAAAAGAAATAAATCTATAACAAAAGAAAATGCTAATTATATAAAAAAAAATGCTTTTATAACATTAATAGCTTTGCTTAAATTTTTTTTTAAAACGAAAAATGACTTAAAATTTTTTGGTTTGAAAATAATAATAAAATTCTAACAACATATTTTATTTACATGCATTAAAAAAAAAAAAAAAAAAAAAAAAAAAAAAAAAAAAAANGGGGGTGGGACAGAAAAATTAAACAAAAATAATTATACACTTACAATTTTTGAATTATTTGCTGAAAAATAAAATGTGATTTTATAACATCGTTAGACCTTCTTTTATTTATTTATTTAAAATAATAAAGTTGTATTGTCTAATGGTCAAATTCTATACATAATAAATGTAAAACTAAATCAAAGTTTTGTCTTTTCATTTAAAAAAATTTTTAAAAAAAAATAACATCGACTTGAGAATTATTGGTTTAAAAATCATACTGAATATCTAACAAATTAATAAACAAACATGTATTGAATGAATATTAAGAAAAATTAAAAAATAAATACTGTTGTTAAATTGTATATTGCCAGTATTATTGTTATAATCAATAATATTACTGATTATATCAATAGTATTATTGTTATAATCAATAATGCTATTGTTAAACAAAACTAGTTTTAAAGCATCAAAACATTGCTTAGCATATTATAAATAATTTTTTTTTAGTTGTTTTAGCTAAGAGCTGAATTTTTTTAACAAAAATGAATAACAAAGAAAGTAAGTAAAAATAAATAATGAAGTAATAAATAACTTAAGATTTATAGAATTTAAAATAATGCTAAAAGACAAATGACTTACATAGATTGAGAAATTCTTACAAAATTAAGAGAAAATGGCTAGAAAAACTAAATTACATTTGTTAAGTGCCAATTTTTTTTTTTTTTTTTTGTTAATAAGAGAAAAAAATTTAACAAAAAATCCTGTGTTTAAAAAATCAAGATTAAAATAAGGCTTTGTTTTAATTTATTAGAAATACAAATGACTGAAGATTTATTGGTTTAAAAATTATCAAATTCTGTCAAATTATTATACTTGCAAGCATTAAATAAATTTAAAATAGAAAAACTTTTTATAACAAAGTATAATAATATAATAAAGTTACATAATTACAATATATACAGTTACATAAATACAAAATACCACTATTAAATTGTATTGCTTAAAAAGATAAAAAAACAAACAAACAAAATAACAATGAAAAACATTTTTTTAGAGCCCTGGATCTGTGGCATGAAAGGACAAAGAACTACCACTTAGATCACTTATACTATTTATTTAATTTAAATTAAGATAACTCTAAAATCAATCAATCAATCAGAATGTATTTCAGAAATTTTTTAATGGCTTAATCATTCGAAATTTTTCAATGTAGATTATTCTTTCCAGATATCAGAATTGGTAATAATTCAAAATTATTTTTAAGCATTATAACTTTTAAACATTACAAATCCTTTAAAATCAAACTGATTTTATCAAAATTCTAATACATTCTATGGTGGGTTAGCTAAAAACTAAAAAAAAATAAATAAATAAAATGAATGATAACATGTTAGTAATACTAAATAACATTTAATTTAAGAAGCTGTAACTCACAAAATCATTAAATAAATAGCAAAGCATTCATAATTAATGAAACTATTTTATTGTTACCAGACTAAATGCTCATAAATAATACGAAAATGTTTTGTTGTATTTAACTCTATTTAAATATATATTATGAGATGTTCATTACTTGAATTAGATATTACAAAAGGCAGCAACATGAACAGTATTTGATAAAGATATGAAAAAACATGAAATCAGCTATTTGAAGCAAATTTACATCTAAAAAGAACGATTTGAAATTTTTGAAAGATACAAATGAATTAAATTATTATTTTTACCTTCCACCCATATTTGACCTTCTGTAGCCATTTTGTAGGCTTGATTCAGCAAGGGAAAGGCTATGTAACTTTTTAGCACTTCGTAAATCTGCTATACTACATGATGTGCGCATGGCAGCTTTTTAAAGATTAGCCAGGCTCTAGAAAAAAAAAGTATGTTATAACCTTCTTTTTAAGATATAAAATACAACTAACAAGACTTATTGAGTTGGTTAGCGATGGAATTATGTTATTTTATGGCAACTATTTTCAATAAATTTATAACACCACTTCTACATTTAAAGAACAGATTTTACTTTTTGATTAATTCAATTTAACAAAATGTATTAAACGATATTAAAATTCCAAACTTACCAAACATATTTATAACAATTCTAAAGCACATTTATAAAATAATCAGACTGTCAGTTTTAGAATACAACTAGGATAAATTTGAAAAGTTTGAACTAATTTTAGCACAGCCATTGTGGATTGGAGCAACAATCACATCTCAAAGGCTTGCATGAAAAAGGACAATCATAGCAAAATTATTCGTTCACTTGATTCACTCAGCAATTATCATGTAATTAACAATATAGAGAATAACATAGTTGAATGCAGAGTCGGCACACACTAATGATCATATTCTTTTAGAAGCAAAATTCAGAAGTTCAATAAAGCAGGACCCTTATTGTCACAAACTGCAGGTTCCTATTAGCATTTGTTATACATGTACACATTGATAGGACATGCATAATTTCTCGATGTTTAGAGAAAAAAAAAACTATATTAGATGAAAGATCTTCATTTTTATTTGAAAAATATTCAAAAATATAGAATATTTTAAGGCACATTAGAGGATCTGGAAATTTTTAGGGCAGTCGGCCTTATTTTGGCATAATGAGGCTAAACCCTTTTATCCAATTTCACAGGCTCAATTTAAATGTATTTGTAATTTCGACTTGTTGCAGATGAACTACAACTGTTGAAGCACAAACATTTATAAACTCTTTCAGGTTACAGCGAAAATTGAATTGATTTGTTGTTGTTAGTTTACGTCGCACTAGAGCTGCACAATGGGCTAAAAATTGAATTGATAAAGCAGATTAGCAAACATTTCAAATATATAAAGGCACCCATTGTCACATTAACAGGGGTGATTGTGACACAAAGTGAAAAACCCTAAAAAATTTGTGTCAAAAAATTTATATCAATTCATATACATGTTTCGTATTTAACATAATTTTCTTAAAATAAAATTTATAATTAAATTACCTACTAATGATGAATATCACACCATTATAGTAACTAATTTAAGAAAAATCTTAGTTCTTGCAAAAATTGCAATGTAGCATATTTAAAATCGCGTGAATATGAATCCTGATGTTGGATTTTTGAAATCGTGGTGTAAGATTTTTTAACCATGAGAATACAAATCGCAATGCTCAACTTAAACTAAGAAAATACAAAAATCAAAGCTTGATATTCAAACCTCGTGAATAGGAAACGTGATATTAACGGATTCCGCTGCTATTTCAAATTTCTTAAAATGACGAAAAACCGCCAAAGTAAGAGAATTAATTGGTCGATTTCTGTCCGAAGAATCATGTGTATGTAAGCGTCGCATTAGTGGGAATAAGTGAAACTATCAAAATTTGAATTTTAAATTGAGTAATTCCGTGAAAATTTTGTCAGCCTATAAGATTTTTATCAGCCAAAGTACAAGAACCAATGGTCTTGATAAATGCGGTATTCTGAGATATTCCCAGAAAAATCGTAAGTCCTGTTCTTAATTTTTTGACCTGGAAGGATAATACGAAAAACCCAGAATTCCGGGATACCCTCGGAATACAAACACCCCTGCATGAATTAAAATGTTTATAAAAAAGCTTTTTTCACAAAAAAACATAAATATGAAAAGATAAAAAGCAGTGATAATACATGATACTATCAGGAATGAATGTACCAGCTAGCAAAAAAAGCTGAATTCTACATAAACGCAATCAAACATTATGAAATTAATAAATGTATGGAGCTTAAAAAGCCTTGAAAAAAGCTGAATTCAGAGTAAAAGCTGAAAACTTTCATGCCTGTACTATGCATAGGTATTTGTTAATGAAATTTCTTTATGTGCTACCTTTTTGAGAATTGAACAGTAATTAAAAATTTATCTAATAAAAATAAAGTATTGAGTCCAATGCTCTTTTTTTTTCAAACATTTATACTAATTACATTTATGGATCCCAACAGTAGGGTTGTTCAAAAAATACTACTAAAATATTTAGGGTAGAAAGTTGTGTTATGTTGAGTATATTATTACTTAATTACCAGAACAATGATGGAATTTATTACAGACTAAATAAAATACACACAATAAGTAAAAAAGGGACCAAAAAAAATTGTAGTGGTGATATATATATAATTCTAATTAATTTTTTCACACCTATAAAAAGGGATACACACAAGAGGAAATTTGCGACTAAATTAAATAAATTATGTTAAGGTATAGAGGAACGCAATAGAATATTAATAAAAGTACTGATTATCACAAATTTTTTTATAATGCTTAACTTTTTGAAGAAAATATTTCTACCATCTCAATAATTAATGGATCAACAGCTGAAAGCAGGTACCAATTTTAAAACAACGTTTCAAATATTGATAAGTAAATTAAAACAGAAATAAGTTTAAAATAACTAACTTAATTTTGTTCTAATTAAAAGGGTAGGTTATTATTTACATAATTGCAAGCTGAACATAGCCTGCAAACAAAAACAACTACTAATCGTAAACAAATTATATACAAACAAACTAACAAGGAATTAATTTTCACCAAAACAATCGATTCATTTAATGCGTTCAAAAAATGTGTAATTTACATTTTTTAGTGTATTATTTTCACCCGAAGAGAAGCATATTTATAATTTTATTTAAGCAAATCAGTACAAAAAACAAACAAAACAAAATTCTTTACGCACAATTTAACACCAAAGGTAAAGTTACAGTTTGATTATTCAAGTAAAGAATGCTTGGAATGTTAAAATGCGGTAGCCTGACCCGCGGTAGCACATTCTACTACTCACGCTTATGTGGGGCCGTTTAAGTTGCATGAGATGCACGAGTATCCAATCACCGTCGAGACTTAAGTGGGGAGTTTTCCACCCACGAATGTTAAAAATGACAACGGAAATTTTCATTACAAGACTTAGTAAAGTAAATTGCTGCCGAGCTTCAAGCCAAAACTCAATTATTCGCCTCATCGAAGCCTCTTCTTTGCTCTAAATATAGACAAAAACCTGCGGCCTCCCTGTTCGAGCGGTGTCTACTGCCAAACGCTGTGCAAAGCGAGGAGGTGGTTCGAATCCCACCGTAACCCTGAATGTATTCGTCGTGAAGTCCTTCTCCTCTGAATTGTTCTATCGGTCCTTCTACTGAACAAAGGCTTATAAGTCTGAATTGAGCAAACAAGCCTGCAAATGTATGTAATTCCAATGAAGCAATGAACAAAAACCTGTTATTAAACGTGCGAAGAAGTTTTCCCCCTAACGCAAATCTACACAAAGCAGAGCTCGCTACGTAATGGATGGTGTTTTCTACACTAGGGAGCGTTGCAAGCTCGGGACTGCCTAAATTTCCGGGTTACTGTTTCAGTTGTATTTTAAAGCCATTTGGCATCATTGTGTTTTGAGATTCTTGCAAACAATGTATTTGATTACTTATTACTTATGTTTACAATGCTAACAATACTTGTGTTTACAATACTAAAAGTGTTAACACTAACGTAAGATGGTGCACAGCTTGCAACACGAACAAACAGTAATAAACAAATGGAAAGAGGCCAAATCAAGACTGCCAAAAAAGCGAGTTATTCAAAATCTAGCAACCATGTCACCTTTTTTAATAATAAATAACAAAATAACTAAAACAAATTTTCACTCCAAACTCCCCAGAATTACATAATAACATTAATATCTTATGAAATACGGCAGATTTGAGCTCAGAAATTATCTAATTTATTTCTTTTATTGAAAACAAAATTATCCGTTTGAAAACATCGCTTATCAGAATAACATGTAATAAGCAGCTGCAAACTTTTTAATCGGAACAAGAGTAGGTGCCGAGCTCGAGATTGTTATTGTTTACATTTCTATTGAAAACACCATCCATAAAACCGATTCAACCTCGTTCCTTGCTTTAGAGACTTCCTCAATTCGCGATCGCAGCACTCGAATACGTCATCTGGGGAGAAAACTGATTCCATGTCCAATGATCGTATTTTCGGGAGAAAATTGAAGGAAGGGTAACTTCCTCTTTCCCTCTTCCTATTTGTTTAGGAATAAAAAAATAAAAAATACCCTAAATAACTTTTGTTGTTGTTGTTGTTAATTTACGTCGCACTGGAGCTGCACAATGGGCTATTGGCGACGGTCTGGGAAACATCCCGGAGGATGATCCCAAGACATGCCATCACAATTTTGATCCTCTGCGGAGGGGATGGTACCCCCCGCTTTGGTAGCCCGACGACCTGCGCGCGAAGTCGAGCACTTTACGGTAGCACAGTTTAACGAGGACCATTACCGCACACACTCGGTCCCTACGCAGACTGATCCAAGTGGTCACCCACCCGCACACTGATCGCAGCCAGCAATGCTTGACTTCGGTGATCTGCTGGGAACCGTGTCTTAACGATCAGTTCACTGCGGGACAACTTTTGTTCCAATGATCGGATTTTCACGAACTAAGTGTTAATCTCAATGATTCCTGGTTGTGACTTCAAATATGCTCATTAATTAGCGCTAAACGCTATTAACTAAGTTACGAAATCAGACACATAAACGTACTTTCTCCGAATATACATATATTTTTTTCACATATTTGGAATCCTGGCCATTGAAATAGGGGAGGGGGGTAGACAAATTTCGAAAAATTTGGGTTGTAAATTGGGTTGCAATAGAAATTTAAATATATGGCGAGAGTTTAAAAAAATACCAAATTATCTCGCCATAGAAGGTGAAACAAATGAAAACAACCATAAAATAACTGAATGTCATTTTGAGGGCAGCTTTCTGGGCAAAGAAAGCAGATTGATTTCTTTTTAATCTCCTTTGAAAACAAAATTTGAATCGATTAATAAATTACTTATGATTTTCCAAGATTTTAGAATCTGATTGTTGTACTTTTTATTTGACATTATTTTTTGTAGCAAAAAAATTTGGACGGCCTGAAAACGATAACGATTCTGATGCACAATAACAGAGTTTTCTAAAATTCACAGTATTTCTTTTCTGTGAAATTGAAGAAAAATTTGTAAATGTTTAGTGGCATTTTAAAAGCGTTTGGATATATATATACATATATCAAATATTCAAGTTATATGGTTTTCTTGACTTAGTTTGATTTGCAAATTGCATCCCTATTTTTCTATACATTACGAACAGACTTTTGCAAACACGTTACTCCGTTCAAACATGCTCAACATGCTCTTTCGCTAAGCTCTTCGATTGCGATCAGTTACTTATTTATCACATAATATAGCTACTAAAGTTTCTTTGTTCCTACGTAATAAAAACAATTAAAACTTTAGATTTCACTATAGAAAAATACTTAGATTAATATGGTATAACAAAATTTATACCTCATAATTCTAAATTTTATCTTCCGCAATTAAATTAAATTATAAAAAATAATACATAATTATAAATTTTCTTTTGCATGAAATTATCTTTGGGAAATGAGTTTTATAAGTGGGTATAATATTTTTTGAATTGCTTAATTAGTTTCAAAAATATGACTTAAAAACGCAAAAAGTGAAAATAATATTAGGGGGTCCAAACTTTGGGTCGCTCTCCTGACCATATTTCCCAGATTGCAGCTACCCCCTATATTTTGAAGGTTAAGAATCCGAATATGTAAAAACAAATCTTTGTTTATTCAGAGAAAGTACGTTTTGCGTCTGTTTTCGTAACTGAATTAATTGTTGTCACTAAATAATTTGTACCCATAAGGATCATTAAGATTGAATGTTAGTACGTGAAAATCTGATCAATAGAACGAAACTTATTCAGGGTGTACTCTTTCCTACTGTAGTAAGATATTTTCTCTTTTCTTAATATTTTTCGTATTTAAGTGTCACAAATATTTTTTAAAATTTCCTCGACGTTTTTTAAGAACTATGTTTAATGTAGTTTTCAGTTCTAGATAGTTTCCTAACTTAAAAGTTTTTAATCTGTTTGAAAATTAACAGAGAAACTACCAGACTTCCTTCTCCTATTACTCTCCACACGCTACAGGTGAAAGCATACGAAGTGTTGCCATAGATAGAGAGTTCTGCTTTACGCCATCTATAGCCTATTTCGATAGCCAGTACAAGAAAAATACTTACACAGAAAATGAAACAGTTCAGAGGCTCCGCCTTAGCTAGTAGCTGTAGCAGGTGGTTGGGTATTTACTAATCAGGTTCTTTTTTTTTTCGTTAGCAATCGAAGGTGTGTAAACCACATGCAGTGTGAACGTTTCTTATTAAGGACCATTCTCACTGGATGCGAAATATTTAAAAAAAATCAAGTAAATGAGAATCTGGTCAGTGAAATTATTTTTACCCATTAAAAACACATCCTTTAGGTTCTCGTTTGCATGCATTCAGTGTGAAGGAACTTTCTCACTGAATGCGGTTCACTTGCCTTCGATAACGGGAAAACTTTTTCACTAGCCGATCTCCCACTCTTCCTCGACCGTTTTAGGAAGTGCGTGAACCGCATTCAGTGCGAATGACTATTTTGAAAGTCAGAAAAACTGCTCTAGATAAAAAGATGTGTCTCAATTAAAAAAAAATGCGTCTCATTGAAGATGTGTCTCAAATGTGCAAAGGATACTATTTTTCTGACATTATAATCTAAGAAAATACAACAAAAGCAAAACTGACCTAATTCCTTTTTTTAAGGGCCAATTTTATTGAATGCGGTTCACGCATTTCCGATCTTTGTTCAGGGAGAATGAGAAAGTTCTCCATTTATCTTGACCATGATTGGAAGTGCGTGAACTGCATAAAGTGAGAATGCCTCTCAAGTAGTATATTTGGCGTTTCATCGCGTTTGAAATAAATTTCAGGTCTTAAAATTAAATAATTTTAACTTTAGTTCTTCTTACAGTTTATTTCTCGATAAATAGTACTTACAAAATATTTTTTATATATTCAAAATATCTTTTGAATTCGCGATCGCAACACTCGAATACGCCATCTGGGGAGAGACCGGTTTCATGCCTTTAGCCCTTCTCCCTTCCCTCTCCTCCTCTTTTCAGTTGTATAGGAATGTACTACGATATTTTCCCTTTTCTTAATATTTTTCCTTTTTATTTAATCAAAATATTTTTTAAAATTTCCATGATACTTTCCTTTAGAACTATGTTTAATGCAGTTTTCAGTTTCATATAGTGTTTCAAGTTGAAAGATTTTAATCTATATGAAAATCAAGAGAGAAACTAACGTACTTCCTTCCTCTATGACTTTCCACACGCTAATGGGGAAAGCATGTGAAGTGTTGCCATAGGAAAAGAGTTCTGCTCTACGCCACCTGCAGCCCATTTCGATNCAGCCAGTCAAAATCTAGCAACCATGTCGCCTTTTTTAACAATATATCTCTAAATAACTAAAACAAATTTTCACTTCAATTAAAGTTAGTTGTTTTTTAATTGCAATAACTCTCCTATACAATTTCTTTTTGTCGCAACTGCTCATTTTTAAACATAATAAGCAATTTTATTCGAACTAGTTTCATTACTCAATATCTTTAAAGTGAAGCTCTATTATTTTTTATTGCAGTTCAATTCATTACACTGTATTCAAATGCAACTTTTTTCTTAAGTTATAAAATAAGATTCCAAATAAAATTATGAAAACATTTAAAATATTTTCCGCTCATGCGCAGTATAATGATATTACTTTCAATACTTGCGATTTTCAGCGAATTGTTTT